TCAAAATGTCGAGGATATGCTTTTAGTTGGAAAGAAGCTACTGATTTGTTCGATTCGAGGTCGCGGTAGCTGAACTGAGCTGGGCCGTCATCGAGTATTATATGTGATGGCCTCGCAGCGCATTTCCGTACAATGCGCCTTGAAAAGTTACTCGAGAATGGTCTGAAGCTGTTTTGTGAATGAGCTTCTCCAGAGGTTGAAGATGGCCCGTTTGGGGGGAAGGTGCAGATCAGAGCAGAGCTTCCAAAATGGTAGACGCGAGCCTGACAATAAAAAAGAGTGGGGCCTACAAACAGCTACAATAGTGCTAGGAACTTATACCACTTGCATCAAGCAGCAACAATACAAATTCTTAGAGAACAATAAAGCCCACTAATAAGGAAATGCCCGCATTTACTTGGCTTTCCAACCCTTTTTTCTTATATACCTAAGTTGAGTACTGGCGGTTAACTACCTTTAGTGTTAAAAGTCACCAAGATATTATGCTCTATAGTGATAATATCAATCAGATATCTGTGTAAATAGTTCGTTCTCGTGATCGTCTGAGCTTTTGTCTGGGGCAAATAAAGACATGGACCTTATAGATTCCAATTAGGCATGCGCTGTTTGTATTGACGACATCTTGCCAGAATTAGTCCAACAACTTTCATTACTCCTACAGTATATCTTCATCACACCCAACATATCTCTCCTGACCCAGCTGCCTATACAGCCATCTCACCTATCTACTTCTTCTGCTCTGCTTCGTCCGCGATTCCGCTATACTTATTAATCCACTCCAGAACCTCTCTGTGCCAAACAAGTGAATTCTCAGGCTTCAGCACCCACTGCATAGAAAATTAGTAAGTGATTCAGTCAGTCTTGCAGCTTAGCAAACTTACGTGGTTCTCGTCGGGGAACATGACAAGTTTGCTGGGCACTTCACGAGCCTGCAACACGTTGAACATGGCCAATCCTTCCGAGATGGGCAGACGGTAGTCAAGCTCGTTATGAATAACCTAAATGATGTAAGCATATCCCTAGGTTGCCACTCATTCGCTTCACTTACCAGCTGCGGCGTGGCCCAATTACCAGTATGCAGCGATGGATCCCACTTCTGGTATCCAGCACGGTTGTCCCAAAGAGTTCCGCCAAAGTCGTGCTCGGGGAAGAAGAGCTCCTCTGTTGCCCACTGGTTTTGTGTTGAGAAGACGCCGTCGTGACAAACCAAGGCCTTGAACTTGCGTCCAAGATCATGCCCCTGAATCCAATCTATCCTCACGTCAGCATATATTCAATGACCACTCTCACCACCAAGACTCACTAATCATGTATCCACCGTATGAAGCTCCCAAGGCAACAGCTCGGTCCGTGTCTACATAGTCGACATGCTTCTCGAGATACTCGAAACACTTCACCAAATCATCGTATGGAGCGCCTCCCCAGTGATTGGCAATCGCATCAATGTGAGCTTGACCGTATCCAGTGCTGCCGGTTGGGTTGGGGCACACTGCTATATAGCCCTGCTCAGCGAAGATGGCCGGGTTCCAGCGAGTGCTCCAATCATCTGTCCATGCAGATTGAGGTCCACCGTGGATCAGGAAAGCCAAAGGGTATTTCTTAGACTTGTCGAAGTTCGAGGGCAGCATGACTAGGGCGTGATTGTCGTAGCCAGCTGATCCAGGATACCAGATGTCGGTGGCCTGGGATTGGGAGAGACCAAATGTCTTTCCATTCTTTGAACTGGCAGAAATTACCTTGAATGATTTCTTCTCCGGATCCAGGATTCCGTAACTCGAGCTCTCCACACGGGATCTGGATGTAACAAAAAGAGACTCACTATTTCCCAAGACATGTGCCTCCACGGCGGAGGCTTCCTCGTAAATAGGCTCAGGAAGATCAACAGCTTTAAGAGTATCAGACGGCAGCTTCCAAAGCACTGATCTTCCATGCTTCTCAGCTGCAACATACAACTCCTTATCGTCTTTCCGCCAAACTACCCAGTCAGGTCTCAGATCCCAGCCACCTTCGTCGTCATCTGTCTGATAAAACTCTTGTACGTTGCTCAAGTCGGTAACATCAGGGATCATCAACAGCCTTGTCTTGTCAGATTCGTACTGCTGATGCTTCATTCTAGCAAACGCAAGCTTCTTGCCGTCGTTAGAGAATGTTGGCGCACTGCTGTATCCTCGTAGTCTTCCAGTCTTGACAATTTGGGGCGCAGCAGGTTTGTCTGTCCAGGACTTGATGGGCACGTAGTAGAGGTCGGTCTTGGTATTCCTTGCGGGATTCAGTTCCGGATCCTTCGCAACAAAGGCGATACCGTCCTTGGAGATGTCAAAGTCTCCAGCGCCGCCAAAAGGAGGCACAGGTGAGCTTAGCTGCGTGCCTGCCAGAAGGTTATTTAGGCCAGATTTTTCGAGAGCCCATTTGCCGCCCTCCTTGGTGAGGACACCATACCAGAGCGAGTTCTGGTTTTCGGTATTCCATGCATCCCAGTGGCGAACAAATAGGCCAGTATAGATCTTGGCTGATGTATAAGTCTTAGACTCCGCCGCGGGCCAATACATGTCGCCTTTGGGGGTGGTCAGGGCGGAGCAAACAAAAGCGACTTTATCATCAGAAAGGACTTTCGCCTTTGGGTTGGAAATGCTTCCAGCAAAGCAGTTCACCATGTGTGGTCTTGGTCATAATGTTAGCTGTTGCATAGGTAGTCATTTTCTGTTCTGGGGGGGTCATTACTCAGATTTGTCCAGCACATGTTGAACATATAGCGATGAGGACCCTTTATCGCTATTCTTGATGAAGACGATCTCTTTCTCGCCAATCCAGATAGGATCGCCGGCATGTACATCCTCAGAGATGAGATGAGAGGTGTCATCCTTGATATTGAGGACACGGATCTGAGATGACTTGGAGTGTTTGTCAAATGAGTACGACGAGATCTAGATGTGTGAGTATCCTGCTAACACGACCGATTGAAGCTGACTCACGGTATAGAGAACGAGCTCGCCGGTGGAGTTTGGGACGCCGGTGGAACGGCGCGGGGCCGAAATCAACACCTCGGGGGTGAACCGGGTGGCCTGTCTCGTCATCATGGAGACTGTGAGAGTGAGGGTGAGGGAAGAATATAGTGGCCGTAGGCGATGAGGCAGCAGAGTCAGCAGAGGCAGTAGTAAAGTGAATATAGTTGCAAGTATTGAAAGGAAGAAAAACAAGAACCTCTGTGTCCTGTTGAGACATTCATCATACAAAAGGTCAAGGCATGTACAGGGCCCCTCTCGTCTCCTCACCAGGCGCCCGCTCGGCCCCTCTCTTCCGGGGAACCCACTGGTCGTGCTACCTTCCTTTACCATTAGTGCTAACCTTGTTACAGACAGCTTCAATGGATGATAATAACAAAAGATCTGCTCAGTATTGAAAGCGTGCTATACTATGCTAAGCATATTCCTATGCTCATTATTCTCATTCCTTTCTAGACATTCACTCAGCAACACCCAATCTCACCACCACCACCACCACCACCACCACTACAGTCGTTTGTCTTCATATACACAGACGCTAGACCCCGCATCAAGTCATCCATGTTGACTTAGAACAAGAAGCGTCAGCTCACCCATGAACGCCATGTTTATCCAGGCTAAACACGAGCTAACAGGCATTGGTTGGCCAGGTTGTAACAAGGTGGGTGAAATGTTACCAATTGTATAAATTGGTCGTAAGGAAAACTATACGTTAGGTCTTTTATGCATGCTAATCACAAAGAGCCAACTCCTTCTCTTCTCGTTCATTACATCTTTTAGTATCAACGAGCACGCCATTCTGATAGTTTACATCTGAAACCCAAGTTTAATCCCCAATAGACACCGAAGCTGAATTCAGCTTCTCGACCCCAATCTTGTCTGAGTTAGAACCCACTGACCAGCCTGTGTGGACAATGTCATCCTACTGAACAAACAGATATCGAAAGACCCCGAAGCATAAGTCGCGGCAAAAAAGAGCATATTCCAGTTCATCACCCCAACGCCATCTTAAACATGCATTTAATTCCATCGCTATACCAAACGCCGCACCCCCATCCACAGGTGTAATGTACAGCCGCACTACTTGCGCTGCGCTCCAAAATTCGTTCGCTTCTTGCTCGTTGATGTATCGTTTTCGCTATCCTCGGCCTCGACCGTCTTCTTCTTCGACTTGCTCGCGTTCTTAACTGCAGTCGTAGATGTCGGCGTCGGATGATTCGATGGCCCCTCCCGGAATGCCGCAGATGATGGAGTCGCGCCAGCTGGTGTTGATCCCCCTGATCCAGGAGTTATACCCTCCTGCAGAAATCCGTGGTTAGCATTTTCTTCCGTGGCGCTTTGCCAGCATCGCCCGTGCGCCTTACCAGATTATTCGGTCGGTATGAGATTGACGATCGCGAAAAGACTCGGTTCTGCTCCATTGGCCCGACTTTTCGTCGCTGTGCTGCCGCGCCGCTCATGCCTTTCATATAGTTGTCAAAACCCGTGATGATGTTCCCATTCGGTGTGCTGTCGAGGTAGGCCGTCTCCTTCTGCGCGATTCCGTCTTCAACTTGCGTCTATTGACAAGTCAGCCGCGATCCAGGGCAAAACAAAATTGTATGTGGAAGCTCACCAAGCGTCGTTCCAGCATCCTACGCTTTTCAACCAGGTCCCTGACACGGGCTTGCGCCTTCTTGTATTCGGACATCGTCACTTGCCCAGTCGCACCTCCAGCACCGTTGGTCTGTTTTCTTTCAGCCATGCAGTTTGTTCCAGTCGATTGTTGTCGGTATTTCAAAGAGTGAGAGTCGTTGATCTAAAATGTGTTGTAATTCAAGGTTATGTTTAATCAACAAGAATCCAAGTTAGGCCACACTCAGTCAATGTTGTGGGGCGCGTCAAAGAAGCGCGGCTAACCGCCCTACGCGCTAGTGCTAGTAAATAAGCACATGCCATCAACCAAAGATCGTCAAAGTCAACAAAAAGGATTATTCTGTGTATCGCAGATGACTAGAACTCCCCCGCCAGGAATTAAACCCGGCTTCCAAGCTTGATAAGCTTGCATACTGACCACTATACTATGGAAGATGGCCTCTGGAACACGAGGAGTTTGCGTCACAGTCGTAACAGCTCAGCTTCCACTACGTTCTGCAAGATCGAGAAGGATGCATTATGGCTTCCTCGGTACTTATTTCGCAGTTTCGTGTAGATGTAAAGTGTTCTTGCGTTTCGAGATCGAAAACTGGAGCAGGAGCTCTGGCTGTTCGGTGTCATATCGAATGGAGGGAAACTAGCATCATAGACACTACCATCCCTGATCTTGAGCTTACGTCTCTGCGAGGCTTCCTGGGAAGTAACGTTTAGGACTGTTTAGTATCCAATCCCAAACTTCGTCACAATTTCATAGACTCGAGTTAACTTGTACCAGCGATCTACCTACTGAATTGACTACCTAGATATGTCGTATTCAATCCTTAACCTCCTTGAGACCCATAAGTTTTCAGCCTTCGTTCTGATTTCTAACATCCAGTTGACTTTTGTGACCTGAGGAGGTCCTTTGGAGAGAAGGCAGGTAGTTTCGAGTACATTAGGTTCCCAGGCAGGTAGTAGAGAGCATCTTTCCTCGACCACCTCTTTCCTTTTACTGGCAGTCGCTTCCAATAACATATACGAATGTTCTTGTGTTTCTTGCCATATCTAGTCGATACAATGAGTTCCTGCTGTCTCGAGAGTTCCATCCCAATGGAAGTTGCTCCCGTTCGGAGGAGAGCTGGGTATGTCAAGATGTCTGCGAATCGGGACATCTTCTTTTCTTTTCTTCTTCTTCAAATCCAGGCTCTCCCCCCCAGCGTCCTTAAAATCCTCAGCGATCCGACCCAACATGTCTGTAAGTGTTATCTTGCTGCATTTCCCCTTCAGTAGCATTCTAACACCTCGGCAGAGTCACATCCCCTGGTACCGGCATCCTCTCGTGCCTGTGGCCGTCTTCTTCACCTGCTCCTCTGTCGTACTCTGGTTGAGGATCTTCCCTCATGCCCCCGGTATTGTTTACCGGTGGGTGACCGCACAACCCCCCCAACAGTTGTTGGGGAGGGGAATCGCAATCCTCGAGGGGTTTCCGTCAGAGTCTCGAGCTTAAGAAAGAGTGAGCTCACAGCTGGCACGGATGCCGGTGTGACACCCCGACAAGCCCAAATGGACTTCGGTCCAGCCCGGGCACCCCCTCTGCCGTAATATTTTGGGTCCTCTGGGCCTGTGAGCACTTTGTTGTCCGACTTCCGGTTCGAGTTCGATGATTTCTGCTCTCACCATCAGATCGCACTACTGCTCATCAGTCTCAATCGGCCCTAGATCATTGTCAGAAGTCCTTCAGACATTCAAGCCTGCTTGGATCATCAGTCATTCCTGACGGAGGGAGCCCTCACCCCCTCTGCCGTATTAGCTGCGGTCCTCCAGGCCTATTAATATTTTGCTGCCCGACTTTCCGGTTCGATTCCGATGGTTTCTGCTATTCCGTGCATATCGGTTTAGAGGATGCTTTCTCTGAGTCTGAGATCAACTCTAGAAGGTCATCCCAAGTACGGCTTCTTCAATGCTTTCGATACTCTCTCGATCGACATCTCGAATCCGTATATCCCATATTATCACCTTCTCGAAATGTTCGACCAGCCGTTTTTGGTACTTAGCTGCATCCCATCTATTTTCTCGGCAGATATCAAGCTTCTCGACCCTCTCGGCTAGAACTCTCCAGCGTCACCAAGGCTATTCGCAAAGCCTCACAGGGTAACGATATATAAGCATACCAGGTATCTGGGATACTACAGAGACTGAGAATTGGGTTCTTTCGCGCGGCAATGGCAAGCTTATCAGCGCCAATGTACCATCTGTCTGTTCGTCCTCCGACCATTGTGCATCAGTCCCATATGCTCACTCGATCTTGGACCACTTGTTCAGAAAGTATCGAATTGCAAGCCTACCCACCTTCTCTAGCCATACTCTCTGCATGGTTGTATTTCATTCAAAGGGCCGCTTGGATCTCTGGTTATCGTGGACTGCAGCCTACGACTGGTCGGCCAGAGAGGATCAACAAGCCACAACCCTGTCATCACACGAAAAGGTCTTCCTGAGTTATAGTGACCGATACCTCTCATTCCACCTGCGGGCCCAAATCTGCTGCAACTGACATAACAACATCAATGCCAGTCACTCACCAACTTGGAGCCAGACTCCCCGCAAAACACTACGGCCTTTGAGGGTTACACTCACAACATCGTTCTGAGAGCCATCAACCTGACTGAGTCTGACAGTCTCGCTGTCTGGGCCTAATGCGTCGCTCTCGCTCCCTGTTAAATCTGCTCTTCTCCTGTCACCCTCGGATACCCATTTGCTATCTTAAGGCCTGTGTACCCCTCTGAGCGAACCGAATGCCCACACTTCGCAAAACATATTCAACTTGGCCTACAGTTGTTCTGGAATGCCATACATCTTCTGATTGTCTTACAACCAGTATCTTTTCTGGGGACTGGAGTCCAGCAGTTTTCCTCCTCTCCATGTCATTCAGTCAGCAAATCTTCTTTTATTATAAACTCTCTACCTTCTTCTTTGGGGTTTACAGATACCTTGGCCGTCCTGAGATGTCTCGTTGCCTTTCAGATTCGGGTTGCTAATTACTCCAAAATGGAAGCTACCATGACAACTCCAACAGATACCGAGCTGATCTGTCGGAACGACTCACCGGTCCCGAAATACTTTACACCCGAGAGTCCTGGTGTACAGAATTCTCTAGCTGCTCTTGGATAACAACATCATCCCAAACGAGAATGGTTACATGCCCCCAGAGTCAAGACCTTTCACCATGATATTATGTAGGCTGTATGGCGGCACCTACAGTCCTTACCAGGGGCCATGTATTATCATACTTCCGTCTTCTCCTGGCCGGCTCAAGACGTACATCAATATCATGGAGCTCTCGACTGTTGACGCTACCAACGTACCAGCATTGGTTACGTTTCTTGGCAATTGGCTTTTCTTTTTGTCTAAATAGACAGTCCAGGATCGCTCCCCTTTTGAGGTATATTCCAACACCTCTTTCTTCTCTCCTTGGTTTCTGCGAGCTAGACGTCAAACCTCGTTCAACAAGAGCTCCATGCGGGTCAGCCCCACAACCAGCCAACCGTCAATTCAATTCGGCCAGCCGCAGCTTGTATAGCTAAGGCCTACTTTTCTGAGCATCTTATTCCCTTAGCAATTACGGCTCATAAGATGCATAAGAGGTTCGGACACCAGTCCTCTTTCGATCGGGTTTCACAAGCCCAAGCGCATCCCTTGAGCCCCTATGCTGAATACGACATAGCCAAAATCCCACCCAACCCCACAACTCCTTACAAAGCCGGAGAACTCATGGGACTAAGGCGAAGGAAGGCTTGGCTGCTTCACTACTTGCAATCCATGTCACATACCTTAGAAGATCAGTTGCCTCGCAGTCAATCCATCGCCTGTTCGATTTTATATCAAGAACAATTCACCCTCGGGGTTTTGACAAGCTCAAACGAAATGTCAAAGATATGCTGCTCATGGATTGGAAGAAGAGATTTAATAACATCATCCCTGAATATACCTATATTCCACTGTTTTCTGTGGCACGGCGTTTGTCGGAGGCAACTGGTTTGCGTCAGAAGACACTGGTTTGGAGGATGTGACACGACTGCTGCGGATCGGTAAATGGGAAAGATGAAAAGGGCATTCCCTTGGCACAAGTTGGGCAGGGAAGCCCCCAGAGAAGGCTCTAAGGCACATGTTTATTTATGTAGATTACTTCATGTATTGGCTACACCTCGAGAATACTCGCCAACTCATATCAATCTACTCGTTTTGGCCCCAGTCAGGTATTTCTAGATTGCTTCACTCGCGACGCTCATGAACAGAACTCTCGCTCTCAGCAGATAGGCGGTTCGCTCAAGATCGCTAATAAGCACGTATGGAGTCGACAGTATTGGAGGGTTCAAAAGTGTGCAGTATCGCCTACTGCGTTGTAGTAGATAGTAAATAAAGCCGATGCTATCATACGGGCTGAATCGGGGCGCGAAGGGTTCGCGATGGGTGAGACGAGTGCAATTCTTGAGTCCAAATTCGGTTTTATATCTGGGCACAAACTATGACAAAATGAGCGCGTGACTTGATCTGATCTTCCACCTGATGCTCCTCTAGGTTTCAAGGCTTGAAGTCATCCAGCTTCTAAGAACCAAGGCTCGGTTTCGCTTCTGTTTCCATCCTATCTGCCTCCTTGCCCAATTTCCCCCCTTTACAAAAGCAATGTTGCTCAAACATGTCGAAGCCTTATAACTCCTCTCGTTTGCAAGAGACACTTACTTCCAGGCGCCGGTCCTCTACTTCTCAGAGTCATCATTGAAGCCTGTATGTAATTGTTTGCAGCTGAGCGTTGCGGTTGAAAGCTTCTCTTCAGGCCTCGACTCTGCCATAGGCATTCCTTGGCTACCATGATTCATTCCGCACGTTTATGCCATCGTTCATTACGAGCATGCCAAGCTGTTAACAAGCCACTGGCCAGATACGAGGCTGGGAGGATAAGTGACAGTTGATCCCACCAGATGAAGCCTTGGAGCATCCCGAGGGCAAGCTCCTGCTCCCTCAACATCATCTTCACCTCTCTAATGCAAAGGATGAAGCTGGACGCGATGCTCAGGAACTGGTTGAAACATTGTCTGTGCGACAAGTAATACCAGACACTGGCGGCATACCCGAAGTGCTCAGGGGCAGGAGGTATTCGCACGTATTGAAATCTGCCACCAAATCTTGCAGGCCCTTGGAGAAAAATATTGAAACAAGTAATGCCAATCATAGTAACGCGAAATACACCCATGACTGAAACTGGGTGGTGTTTCTTTGGTGGTGGTGGCGGTTGTAAGGTAATATCCCTTGCGTAGGTGGGTATTCCCTGGTTTTGTATAAGGATGAAGTAATGAAGGGCGCAGAAGAGCGAAGTAGGTAGTGGAGAGTGTAAATTGTAAATTGTTGAGTGCAGGTTTGTATTGGCTTCCGTGGTTTGAGATTGAGAAGAGGGAGAGTTT